GGAAACCTTCGATGAATTCAACTTAGCTCAGTGGGTTTCAACAAAGGTCATCAGCTTCATTGACGGAATATTTCTGCAGGCCTCTAAATGGTACCATGCATCAGGAATTGACATGTCGCCGCTTGGAGCTGGCAAGACTGTCTCTTGTAACTCTATCAGATGATCTATCCAGCTATCGATGGTCTCAATGGACTCTGTACATGAAGGCAGGTCTTGGTTCTCATTTTCCTGTATAATATCTTTTTCAATTGTAGAATGTTTGGCAGGCTTTTTCATGTCTGCTTTCTCTCTAACACTTGCTGATTTTCTTGTGACTTTGACAGACATTTCAGCAATATAATCTTCAATCTTGATTTCAATCAACTGAATGCCTCTTACCAGGTCAGCTTCCCAGGTATCAGGTTTGCTGTGATCAGAAGGCTTTGTTTCAAGTTGATAGAGTTCACTTATTACTGATACTGCTTTATTGAAGTCCTCTCAGAGATCCTGCATGTCTTTCTCTGCTAATCTCTAAACTAAAGTTTCCTTCGTCATCTGATCTGTGAGCCTGTTGATTGCCCTCGTTATCTTACCATGCAAAACCTTCCTGCGTCTTTTCAGATTCTGTCTCTGCGATTCCCTGTTTTGTTCATCATCGTCATCACCTTGTGGAACTTCATGAGATGCATCGTGGAAATGTATCTCTGCCTCTACCTCAATTTCTTCCTGGTCTGACATGGCTTATCTCTTCTGTGTTCATAACCCAATTACCCAATTACTCTCTATCTATTCTGAAATTCACTCTTCTGGGACTACTCAGAACTCGTTCACTCTTCAGAAATTTGGTTTGAATTGGATAAGAACAACTAGGCTGGGTGTGGCTGGGAGTTCTTCTAACATCTTTAATGTTGGAGTTCAGTGATATACAGACATAATAACAATAAACAAAGAAACAGGAAACAGATTGACATAAGTCTGTTATAGATCAATATACAATCGCAAAATAGTCTTGCCTTGAAATGTTTATCTCTTCAAGGGAAGAAACTCTTACGGGCCCTAATGCTTACACAAGTGAGTGAAGCGCTAGTAATATATCCCACATACAAAGACATGACCGTTTCTAAAAACCCTTAACTCTGCAAAGAACGGCCAAATTGCAAAATAAAATACGTTATTACACAAAATAATCCCTGAATGAAGAAAAAACATTTGCTTGAAAAACTAGCGCGGCTTGAAACTTATAGACTAGTTTACATTACTAAGAGGGATGAAAATTGTCTCGAAAAACATTCTCTGTGCAAAATACAAATATAGACCTGACACATACTCTAGAAGAGAGAAATATACCTAAATTAAACTTACTTTATGAAAAGAAATCCTAAAATACGTAATTACATCACGTAAAACAATAGCGCTACCCTGAACAATAATATATTCGCCCAAGCATTGATTAATAAACAACATGCAGTGTCAATCTTTTTCGTTTGAGAAAAAGCATACAGCACTATATGGAAACATGGTACTTCAAGAGATTTACATGATTTGGTTGTGATGGTTGTTGGATTACGAGGCCGTTTATATCAAACTTTTTAATGACAGACAATTTCAAGTTCGCGTGGGTCCCACCCTGTCTGATCATTACAATCAGGATCAGGGCGTCCATCAAGGAAGTTTTTTGTTATCATATTGCTTGGCATCAAGATCAACAGTTTATCAAAGGTTTTTAATGATTTAATCAATAGATCTCTTTTTGTTGATGGTTGTAACATTTCCTGCCGCGTTATGCATACTATAGAACGGCAAATGCAGTTGTGTTTAAACAAAAATAAACAAATGTGTCTTGAAAATGGCTTTAAATTATCTAATTCGAGAACTTATCATATACATTTTTGCCGTAAAGACAAACCGCATAAAAACCCTGAACTATTTCTAAATGGCAGCCCTATCAAAGTTGTAAAGAAGGCCAAGTTCTTGGCCAAGTCAATTTAACGCTTTTGCCGCATATTAATTACCTTAAAGTCAACTTCCTGAAGGCATTCGATTTGTTAGAAGTTGTTTCCAATTCAAAGAGGGGAGGGGATCACACAACCCTCCTTCACTCAATCTCAAACTACTTGATTCTGTCCACCACCAAGGTCTAAGATTTTGTCTTGGATTTTTCAGAACCTCTCCTGTTGACAGTCCCTATGTCGAAGCCGATAGTCATCTTTAATACACCACCGTGTCAAATTATGTATACAACATATCACAAAGCTATATTCTAATGAGTCCAACCCTGCTTACGATTGTGTTTATAATCCTCGTTATGATGATTTGTACAAAGGAAAAATCGTCTCTTATTCCCTCACTAGAAATAAGAATAATCTGATGCTGTCATTCAGCTAGAAAATATATATATATATATATATATATATATATATATATATATATATATATATATATACCCGCCTTCATTCTTCTCCTCACCACTTCTTATTCCATACTCTGGCTGCAAAGGTACCATTAGATCCTATATCCGTGATCTGATGCAAAAGAAGTGGGACACTCAAGTAGGTATCAATAAATTACATCAAATAAAGCCAACTATCGATTACACTAACTTGGGCTGTCAGTCCAGATTTGAAGAGGTCATTATGCGCATTGGCCATACTATATATACTCATGAATATTTGTTAAAAGGCGAAGATCCTACATTTTGCATCATTGTGATGAAAGAAGCACAGTCAAACATATCCAGATTGACTGTATTGATTTTTCCATCACAAATGATTAATATTTCAGTGTCAAAACAATTAAGGATCTTTTTTATAATGTAAATTATCTTTTAATAATTGGGGTTTTTTAAAAGAAACAGAATTATTATGTACATTGTGAACAATGTTATTTTATTATAAATGGTGGCATATATTAGCAACTGCGATTGTTATTAGCTGTATCCTCAACGGGGGTTAAAATCTTTGTCCCCCCTTTGGCGATGTCTCATACGCTATACAAGATATACTAATGAGTACTTATTTAAAGGTGATGAATCCGGGGTAGAATAGGTCTTCAGCAACCCATGCTTGCCACAAAAGGCGACTATGCTTGTCGTAAGAGGCGACTAACGGGATCGGGTGGTCAGGCTCGCTGACTTGGTTGACACATGGCATCGGTTCCCAATTGCGTATATCGATGCTCATTCTGTTGATCACTGGATTGTCTGGTCCAGACTCGATTATTTACAGACCGCTGCCATATAGCTGGAATATTGCTGAGTGCGGCGTAAAACTAAACTCACTCACTCACTAAAGGTGATGATCCTCAATCTTGTGATTCAAACACGAGGGATTACTATTTCAAAGTTTCACCCTTGGAGGATCCTTTTAGCATAAATTCTCGTTTAATGATATGCTATTTCGTTTAATCAATTTTGAACAATATGTTTTGTGTTTAATAAATGATTTAATGTTTGATCGAATATATTGATAACTGAGATTGTTTGTGGCTGTACCCCCAAAGGGGGTTGAAATAATGTAAAATGATTGTCCCCCTGAGACGGTACGTAAGGCCACGCCGTTAAAAGTCTATTTATTCGTAATATGTTTTCAATCGTAGAACATGTGTTCATTTAACTCATGGCTAAAATCGTCAAAGTCGCTAACATCTGAAGGGATGGTGTAAATCCAACTGGAGTCTGTGTACTGTAAGTCGCCACTAACTCTAGTATGGTTATCTACCTTCAGTTGCTGGTGATCTATAACCCGGTTTTATCTTGTATTGTCTTGCATTATAATATTCATTTTATGTTACATGCTTGTTTTATATCTCTATCTGTGAAACACAAGTAGTGTTATTGTTAATCATCAACATGTTTCTGATTTCTAATTTTATTGATCTTTGATATAATAATAAATTGTTCTCATCACGACATGGCTGAAATATTGCAGATGCGACGAGAAATATCAACTCACTCACTCAGCTAAAATATTACCATCTTCTCGATTACCAAATAACAGCTCCATTTTCACAGCCGAAGCAAACGCCATATTAACAGCCCTAAAATGTATTAAAAACACCGTAACAATATAATATGCTTGTCGTAAGAGGCGACTTACGGGATCGGGTGGTCACGCTCGCTGGCTTGGTTGACACATGTCATCGGTTCCCAATTGCGCAGATCGATGCTCATGCTGTTGATCACTGGATTGTCTGGTCCAGACTCTATTATTTACAGACCGCTGCCTTATAGCTGGAATGTTGCTGAGTGCGGCGTAAAAGTCAAACTAACTAACTCACTCCTGAGATTATTATTTGGAATATACCAGAGAAACTTTCAGCCTTTCCCCCTAATGAGCACACACGTTTACAGCACCGTCAGAATCCACACACAACTCTTAATGAACTCTCTGTAATGAGAGGAGCAAGATGAGTCAAGATGACATTGGTGGACTCATCAGAAGCATGCCTAGAAGAATTCGTGTATGTCTGGACTGAATACTTGATTGTGGATCCTGGATATATTTGCTACAATATCTACAATATCTTGCTTCCTGCATAGACTCCAGTTGGATTTACACCATCCCTATCTATATCGCCTATCAATATTATAATATTCCTGGGAGTGAATTAGTCAATAGAATCTATTTTAGTTGATGATGGAGACACATTTCTCAGGCGCTGATGTTTCGAATTAAGAAGAACCTAGGTCTTAAAAATAACCACTTTTACGTTCTAAATTTATTGATTTTAATATTGATACCAATCAAATTGTTGTCGTCACGATATGGCTGAAATATTGCCGATGTGACGCTAAATATTAAGTCACTCACTCACTATTTAATAAAGTTTCTTAACAGGAATCAGGTAAGTGTTTATGTAACTTATAATGAACATTATCAGAATCTGTAGCAGTATCATGACCTTGCCCTAGGGCAGTATGTGCAGACGTTTTGAATACCATTCACTATGTCAAGGTAATAAAAACAGATTCAGTTGAAAACGTATTACTTGTTGCATCACTATGTGTATCATATCTGTTGTAGTCTGTACTTTGATGCCTCTGCTACAAGCTGACACCACTGTCCGGGAAATTGTGACGCCTAACTTCGGTAACGGTCCCTATTTTGACAATGAAGAGTGCCAAGTGACGATCCAGAGCAACGTCCCTGGCGCCAGTGAAGTAAAGGTGGAAGTGACGTTCCACGTGATGGAATGTGATTATGACACCATAACAATATGTGATGGTAGGTATATGTTTATCGTACTTTACTATGTATTAAGCTTCAAAGTCAGACGAGAATTGTCTTATATAATTCCCTCCAAAATGCATTCCTTGAGTTTGACAAGGGTTTTAGTGTCTATAATAATGAAACGGGAGGGGGTAGATGAGTATGGTTTTAGCCGAATTAAGCAATATCACGACGTTCAGGGACCTTATTAACAGCTAAACTGTTCCTATGAAAAGTAAGATGGAGTGTATCTCCAGAGATTGAAGTAAGATGTTGAGTAAACTCAAAATTGGAAGTAAAATGGTAGGTACATAAATAGATGGAAGTAAGATGGAGAGAAAACATTCAACGGAATAAAAGTAAAACATAGAATTAGTACAATAGTCAATACTCAGAGACGAAAGTATGACGGAAAGTATACCCAATATAGGGGATTCCATAAGTGGGGAATCATTGAGCAATTACATATAAGGTATTTTAAGGAGAGAGAGAGAGAGAGAGAGAGAGAGAGAGAGAGAGAGAGAGAGAGAGAGAGAGCAAGAGAGAGAGAGAGAGAGAGAGAGAGAGAGAGAGAGAGAGAGAGAGAGAGAGAGAGGGTGAGAGAGCGAGAGAGAGAGGGAGAGATCTTTATTTCCTCCAGTTGTTATTCCGAAGATATACATTGTCATTCATTTCATGGACAATAAAGAAAACAATATACATATGTACATGTAAAGTGGGTTATAAATGAAACATATCAATCATAACAAAGCAACAGAGGTTGTCTGATGGAATCCACATACGTTGCAAATGTGATTATAATGTCAGTCCTGGTTTGAATATCTATACATTCAATCGGATAAGTATCACCTCCAAACAGGAACGACAATGCTGTCGTGTTTGTCCAGCTTTTCAAATTTGACACAGGTTTCAACATTTAAATATTTGATGTACCGATAACACCTATAATTTTATACGCCTCTGGGGATTCCATAAATGGGATGTCATTGAGCAATTTCATATAAGGTTTTGTAAATAGAAACGTGTGGTTAGCGCTTGTCAGCAGCAGCCGTGTTGTGTTATGCCCTCACAAAACTGCAGCTTTTCTACAGAAGGAAACTTTGTAGAGTACTGAAAAGTGGCATGCTTTACAATGAAGTATTAGTAATTCATATTCTGGAGTTCGGCGAGAACGATTCAGAGTTTGCACGCTGCAGGCCGAAATTCGTTGGGCAGGTAGATGTAGACAAAATCAACTATTTTGCCATCTTCTACGAATTGGTGAAAGCACAGCAAATAGATTTCGAGAAACTGTCGAAGGATCTGGTATCGCTCGTAGAAGGTGTATCCCGATCGCTCCAGGATTTGTTTCTCTCTGTTGGAAAGCAAGACATGGGGAAACTCTAGCAGGGTCTCAAAAACTTCTGCCATGTCAGAAGTTGTCTTTGTTTGTGCCTCAGTGTTTATACTACCTCGGATTCGTGTATATCTGGCTTGCGATATGTGGTACTTCCTCTTCGCTTCTCAAAGGGACAAACGACCAAATCGGGTCTTGGCGTAGGCTTCACGCGATAGCTTGGTTCCTGGCATTATTTTTTTCTATGTCCATACACCCGCATATCTCTAATTGGAGTGCACTTGCGTCAGGACACTTTTTGTCTTCTGGACTAAACTGTGTGAAACTCTAATTTTCTTTAGTGGCTGTGGGAGCCGAATTGGTTATTTGGAGTCTTCTGGGTATGGTGTACCCATGCGGCACAGAACCATCATTCCCTATACTACTGAGGCTGCAGAGGTGGCAAACATAGACGCCTTAGTAAGAACACTTTTTTTTACAACAGGTTTCTATTCGAAACAGTCAACTTTATCGCAATCTATCGATCAACTCAATCAAATTTCTTAAAATGGCTCTTTGGAATGCTCAGTCTGCATGAAATAAAACAATTGAAATTGCTGATACAACCACTACTTCATAAGAGTAGAAGTAAATATGGAACGTCCTCCAAATCAGACCAAGACAATACCCTGTCGAAATATCAAAGGCATGGACATGGACAAATTCAAAACCAATTTACATAACGCAGTTGTCATTGATTCCTCTAATGTCAACATTCTGAGTGAACATTTCATAGCTGGCCTTAAATCGGTCTAGACAAACATGCACCTAGCATAGAAAAAAAAGTCAATTTAAGACCAAGAAGTCACTGGTACAACGAAGAAGTCAGAAAATCCATGAACCATTCTCAGAATCAGAGGTTGAAATAATCATCAAATCGGCAAAAAGACTACATGCTCTCTTGACCAACCTGCCTCTCAAACTTGTTCTGGAAAACATGGATGTCTTGCTATCCATCATCACCCAGATTGTCAATGTCAGTTTACAGTGTGGCATATTTCCAGAGGTTTCAACGAAGCAGTTCCCAGACCATCACTTAAGAAGGATAATCTTGATCCTAACGTACTGAAAAAATTCTGAACTGTCTCCAACCTAAACTTCGTTTCCAAGTTGATTGTAAAAACAGCGAACATCAGACTTAACTCAGAATCGACTATCACACCTAACTCAGAATCGACTATTTGACAAGTTCCAATCCGCCTACCAGCCCAGACACAGCACAGAGACAGTTCTCCTGAGGGTGCTCAATGATCTCAGATGCTCGGTAGACAGTGGCAATGTCGCATCACTTGTATTGCTTGACTTGAATGCAGCATTAGACACGATTGATCACAGCATCATCATCCGACTTCTTGAACACCAAATGGGCATCACCGGTTTGGCGTTGGGATGATTTTCATCATATCTGACAGGACGCATTCATAAAGTCTTGATAAAGCAGTCTTCATCCACATTACATGTGGAGTTCCGCAGGGATCTGTTTTTGGGGCCCATTCTCTTCCTCCTTTACATGACACCCTTGACCGACATATCTGACAAGGATGACACTCCTCCTCATTCGTTTGCCAGCTGGTACATTCTTTTGCTCTGAATCAGATTCAACATTCTCTGGAGAAGACAGCTATCTGCACAAAGTCCATCAAATCCTGGATGTCATCTATGATGCTCAAAATGAACGATGATAAGACAGAAGCTTTGTCGCCAATAAACATCGTTTGAACAAAATCACGACTGAGAAAATCAAAATAGCTGGATTAGCCCGCTCCATCCGTGAAAGGTCTTGGAGTTTTCACAGACCAGGACTTATTACTTGATGCTCAGATAAACCATCTCTCAAGAATCTGCTTCTTCCACCTGAGAGCTCTCAGTAACTTTCGTCAGAATTTAACAACAGATGCAGCCCATAATCTCCTCAGATCTCTCGTTCTATCTAGACTGGATTATTCAAACAGCATTCTGTTTGGAATCGGCTCTGCACACCTGACAAAACTAAAAGAAATCCAAAATGTAGCAGCCTGTATCGTATCCCTAACACCTAAAAGATCTCACATAACCCCTGTCCTAAAGTCTCCTCACTGGTTGCCCATCCAAGCCAAAATCGAATTCAAGACCCTGACCATTGTGTTCCAATGTCTACATGACCTAGCGCCTCAGTACCTCTCTGAACTCATCTCATAGTACACACCACCACGACAGTTCAGGTCACACCAGCAGTTCCTCCTAACAACACCCCCTGTCCATCTCAAGAACTATATGGTCACAGAACATTCAGCTTTGCTGCTCCTCAAAACAGCAACCTCCCTTGACTCATTCAAATCTTCATTGAAGACCCATCTGTTCAGGAAATACAACGAGTGACTTGTGCAACTGCTGCAGTTTTTAGCTGTACATACGAGGCGCCATGAGCATACACTAGTGTGTGGATATGGCGCCATACAAATGGACATTATTATTATTAAAATGTTTTAGATGTCAGTTATAAGAGAACAAATGTTGCTGTTTCAGCAGAATGTGGGAGAAATTATGTTTATGTTGACTCTTTATTGAGAGTAATTAGATATTGGTTTAAACTTTTGAATTTACCTAATGAAAGGTACCCTAAGCAATGTTATATCATGCTGTGTGATATTGACAGAGCTGGTAAGAGTGCGTGTGTGTGTGTGTGTGTGTGTGTGTGCGTGCGTGCGTGCGTGCGCGCGCGCGCGCGTGTGTGTGTGTGAGTTTAGTTTTACGCCGCATTCAGCAATATTCCAGCTAGTCTGGACCAGTCATTCCAGTGATCAACACCGTGGGCATCGATCTGCGCAACTGGGAACCGATGACATGTGTCAACCAAGTCAGCGAGCCAGACCACCTGATCCCGTTAGTCGCCTCTTACGATAAGCATGGGTTACTGAAGGTTCATTCTAACCCGGACCTTCACGGGTCTGGACATAAGAAGGAGTGTATAAAAGAGGTGAAAGTAAAATGGAGGATATTACCATAATGGAAGCGATACCTCTCCATGGGATGGTGTGAGGCCACGTCTATGTCGTGTCAGGTTATCTTTGTAATCAGCGTCGGGGCTTCTAATTTTCCACCCGAAAATAGAGAAATCTATCGTTATCGCAATGTGCAATTTCCTTTGGAATTGTGCTCACATACTCATGGAAACGAATAAGGGAACACCTGAAAGTAAAATTGTTCCTTTATTCTTTTCCAGAATTTCACCCACAGTGTAATACAAAGCTTGTAAAGAAACCTGGAAAAGAATAAAGGAGCTTTTGTACTTTCAGGTGTTCCCTTATTCGTTTCCATGAGTATATGTTCAGGTCGAGGTGAATCGTATCTAATTTGGAGAGTATGGTTTTATGCCGCCTTTTCAACAGTGTAACGGTGGGGGACACCAGAAATGGGACTCATTGTAACCATGTGAGGAATTGGACCTGGGCCTTAGGTTTGACGATCCAACACTTTAACCACTAGGCTACCCACAGTCCTCATTTTTAAGATGAGCCATCTCTTACACAACGTCATATAAAATTATCTTTACAATATATTACCAAAGTATATTATAACGAATCTAACCCTGCATTTAACTGTGTCTTCAATCCCCTCTATGAGGATTTATACACAAAGAAATCTTCCCTTGTTCCACCTCTTGGGCTCAGAATTAAACCAACCTATCATTAACCACATTTAGAAAAATCAGAAACTAATGAATTGCAGTATAAACAAGAATTTAGTCAATTAAGAAATAAATATAATAAATATAAATCCTTATTTACAGATGAGTCCAAGGATGGTGGCGCAGCAGGTTGTGCCACTGTCATTGGATCCAGAACAATATCTTCTCGACTGCCTGATAACAGCTTTCACAGCAGAAGCTAACGCCATATTAAAAGCCTTAAAATATATTAAATAACACCCTAAATTTAAACAACATAATCTTTTCAGACTCCCTTTCGTGTCTTCAGGCTATAAAAATATCTCTTGCCAACATCTACTTTTAATTGAAATTATTGAATTGTATAATGATCTTGCTACTGGCCAATACGACATCGCCCTCTGTTGGTTACCCAACCACGTTGGCATTTCTGGTATTACAATGCGACGATGTCGTATTGGCCATACTAGATATACTCATGAATACCTATTAAAAGGTGAGGCTCCTCCGTTTTGTATCCCTTGTGATGAGAGAATCACGATCAAGCATGTCCTGCTTGGCTGTATTGATTCTTAATGTAAAAACTGTTAAGGATCTTTTTACTACTTTTAATTTTCATTTAATTATGGGTTTTTAAAAGAAATAAATTATTGCCTAAATTTTGATATGTTTTGTAAATAGATATACATTTTATAATTAGTAGTTTAAATCATAAACTGGGATTGTTCAGGGCTGTATCCTCAAATTATTGTCCTCCTGCGAGGGTACGTAAGACCCAAAACGTTCAAGGTGAATTTAAACTTACTACATCGTTTAATCGCAGTGTATGTGTCGTTTACATTTAATCGCTACATTGTCTAAACTTTACAATAGCTAATGGTGTAAATAGTGATGGTGTAAATCCAGCTAGGGTCCATGCAGGAAGCAAATGTACTGTAAGTCCCCATGGTTCCTAGTATGGTGATCTACCTTCAGTTGTTGGCAATCTATAGCCTGTTTTTATATTGTACTGTCATCTATAGTTAAACTGTTTTAGATTTAATTACTAGTTTTAAATTCTGTGATAATCTAGTTATTTTACTGTCATTCGTTAACAGGTTTTTACAATTTACCATTTATTACTATGTATAACAATTAATTGTTCTCGTCACAATATGGCTGAAATATTGCCGATGTGACGATAAAGTTTAACTCACTCACTCATGAATACCTGTTAAAAGCTGAGGATCCTCCGTTTTGTATCCCTTGTGGTGAGAGAATCACGGTCAAGCATGTCCTGCTTGACTGTATTGATTTTTCCATCACAAGGGATAAATATTTCACTGCCAAAACAGTGAAGGACCTTTTTAATGTTAATTATCATTTAATTATTGATTTTTTAAAGGAAATAGAATTATTGGATAAAGTTTGATAAAAGGTTTGTAAATAGACATATATTTTATTATTGGTATTTTAAAATAGCAACTTAGATTGTTAGTGGCTGTATCCTCGAAGGGGATTAAAGTACTGTTAAATTATTGTCCTCCTGAAAGGGTACGTAAGTCCCCAAACCATCAAGGGACATTTAAACTTACCAGATTATTAAACGTAATATTTTTGTGCTTTTAAATTATGTCTGCATTTTCCCACAATCGCCAGCGGCTGAAGGGATGGTATAACTCTAGCTAAGGTCCAAGCAGGTAGCAACGGCACTATAAGTCCCCATGGTCCTTAGTATGGTGATCTACCTTCAGTTGTTCGCGATCTACAGCCTGTTTTTATAGTTAAACTGTTTTAGATTTCATTACTGTTTTTTTTATCTATATCTGTGACTTGGCGAACCTCGACTTGGCGAAAACGGCTACAAATCTTATGGCGAAAACGGCACCAACTAAAATCGTATAGGGAAAACTAGATAATCCGATTGCAGATAGTAAATACATCTACTATTATGTCGGAAATATCAAAATTTAAGAACAAGGATGTATTTTTATATTCAAGGATACGATGTGAAAACTACTTTATACGGTAACGGCGCATTGAATAACTCAACTATTTTAGTGATATTCTGAACTCATTACAACAGTTCATTTCTAAAAGTAACCGCTTACAGTAATTATCAGTACGTATATATTCAATGTAAGGCAAGTTTTATATATTTGATTTTCTGCGGCTGCTCATTTCGTTGCTAGGCATATCCAACACTATACCGAACATATTTATTATTCAATCATTTATCTGTTATTTTGTCACAGTATTTTTCTTTTGTTGTCAAATCATTTTGAAAAGAAAAAATCCAAAGATAATATTTATTTCATGTACATATATATTAAAATATCTAGTTTTACAATATAACATCGAGTTTTGAAATTGTATATTTATTGCTTATGAAAAAGACAAAAAATTCAAATGCCACATCTGTGACATCAGCCACTGGAGTTGTGACACATTAACATTGAGTAAAACTGGGTGGTTGAAAGTAAATATGAAAATATATTTTCCCTAATTTTGTTACTGTAAAGTGTAGAAAAATATTGTGATAAGTTAGTTACCATAATGTTTTTGGTTTGATTTTGACTTAAGTTTGTCGGATACAAACATCTGACATAAATATGCACGGATTTTGGGAATGACTCATATGTTGATATAATCTTGCTAATGTTATAATGAAATGAAATAAAACATGAGTCAACGTCATACTTTGTTTTATATATGGTGCCGTTTTAGCCCAGAAATCAGTAGCCGTTTTCGCCAATATGGTGACGTTTTCGCCACACAAATTTGGTGCCGTTCTGCTGTGGTGCCGTTTTAGTTATAACCCTGATAATCTACTTGTTTTACTGTCCTTTGTTGACAGGTGTTTATAATTTACTTTTAATTATTCTAAAACTATAAATTGATTTAGTCAAATAAATTTTAACTCACTCACTCACTTGAAAGGACTGCCTCCGTGGTGTAGTGGTTAGAGCGTCCGCCCGGAGAGGGTATGGGTACAACAAGGACGGGTCAGTTCGGAGTCAGTATAATGTTTCTGAGTGGGGTATTCATGCTTCACTGCGGCATGGTATCTCAGTGGGCTAGCACTATAAAACCAGCTTCAGTCTGGGCTAGTACAAGCAGCCGCACATACACATACACACGCATGCACGTCGTCATATGAGCGAAATATTCTCAAGCACGACGTTAAACCCAATTTCACCTCACCTCACTTACTTGAAAGCGTCTGAGTCATTACAGTTGGAATGAGAGCACATAATGTAATGTTTTTATGCAAACTCCGTTGTTCAAATTATTGTGAAAAGAAGCGACAACCCGAACACTAAACATGATGCATATTTTCTTCTTCAGGTGTCTTTTGTCATAATTTGTGTCGGTCCAATCCAGGCATCTTCCGTGGTACCAATGTTTTGGTCCGTCTTTCATCAGATTTTGTCTATGCCAAATTGGGTATGAGATTAGAATACATCACAGGTAATTATCTTTTCCATCACATCCGTCACAAAGACAGATATAATTCAAACATATGATTGAAATTTATCAATTATATTTTCCAAAGTTTTAAATCCATCAAGATCTAAAGATCAACTAAACGTATAGAAATAATTAAATCCATTCACCAGATTATCCAATGGTTGAATATCATAATAAAGAGTTACAATCTGTATAAATTAGGAGAAACCTAGGAGAAGACTGTATCATCATCCCCGTGAAGGGGCGCATTAAATCAGATTTTGTTCATGTTGATTTGTTTAATGTTAACCACGAAAATGAATGTCCTTTGTAGCCTCTAAAGCGCCTTATGTCTTACAGTAAATATCATCAATGTGAAATTAATTCACACAAAAGCCCCCATCTCTGGAAAAATGAGTTGTACTACCACTTTTCAAACTCAGACGTGCGAACGTTCATTCACGTAATTTCTGCAGTTTATTATAACTTATTCCCATTGCAGACACTATGAACCAATAAAATAACATGGATCAAGGGTCGTAACTATGTAAACAAATAGTTTCGGGCACCATTTTTCTAATTCAGTCGTGATAAGAGTCAATAAAGGTAGCCAACAAACAAAAGTAGTTTTTGAAAAGACCTGTCCCCATTTCTGACACAATGTACTAAGTAAAAGTATGTGGTTCAAGGGCGGTAAGTGTGAAAAAACCCAACTTGTCCAAATATCTCGAAGTTTGAACGAATTGACAAACACTAGATTCCGTTAGGTCTATGACACACACGCATGGGTGGCTGAAGACCATTTCTAACCTGTATCTTCACGGGCTATGTGATAACTGTCGTTTACAGTGTATCTAAGCATACTCGTACAATCGCATCTCAATATATATACCTCTTGCAGGCGCATGCTTGATCTTCAAAGGAACTTGAAGGATTAGGCACTGGAAATAGACCATATGGTTCACTGCGTAACACAACATCAATCACTGGTTTGGCTAACAAAGTCTGGGATATATTCGAATAGCCGTCATGTACGTCTAATATTGAAGGAAAACCAAGTTCTATGAATAGACAACTTCTTTATTGCAATGAGTGCGACGTTTCGGTGTAGGTGCTCACACCATTATTAAGCAAGTGATGGCGTTAAACAATAACAAAACATAACATATGTTATATTTGGGATTACACTTTCTTAGTAAAGTACAGATTCTAGTACTTTTGGGGTTGATTCGCATGCGGGATTCGAACCCACACCCTCAGAGTCAACCCAAAAAGGTACTAGAATCTACTTTACTAAGAAAATGTAATCTCAAGTATAACATGTTACTTTTGACCACATTCAAAATGGCATTGTGTAAAAAGTCTTTACTGTTGAAAGTTCGTTGAGCTTCCGATGTGAATTCCTAATTAAGTGTAGCGATACCCTTTCTTGAAGTGAGTTTAGTTTTACGCCGCCTTTAGCAATATTTCAGCAATATCACGGTTTCTCGTATTGTACCCATGTTGAGAATCAAACCCGGGTCTTCGGCGTGACGAGCAAACGCTTTAACCATTAGGCTATCCATCCCGCCCCCTCTTCCTTGTAAGTAAAAAAGAAAAGTTTCAGAAAAGCATGTATATCCGTTTAGTAAGACAGAGGGGGGCAGTCCTAATGACATATTTATCCAGAAATCAAAACAAATGATTTTTTGAAGTGTATAAAGTTTCGGGCTATACCACAGCGGCCTATAAATAATATACAACGATTATGTTTGTATGCCTTTGTAAGTAGGTCTTTATAGTAGTTACTTCCCGAAATATGAGCTCGACACGTGACGTTCCTGGTTAGAATTGGTCTTCAGCAACTCATGCTTGTCGTATGAAGCGACTTACCAAAATAATTGATGGCCGTTTCAGACTTATCGGACTGGACATCGTGGGTGAGCACGGGGTGTCATGCAAACCGGAACTGTGACTTGTTTGTCAACGACACAAGGAGAAGGAATTGTCTCATCGACATCTGTATGGATGAGCCCGTCCAGGAACGAACCCGGGTCTGCTCAACGTTCTGTGCTGATTGCCTTCTCCCTTAATAGGTAAAGCTTATGAATACAATGTTATTCACGAAGTTTGTTTGAAGCAGGAACACATTCGGCAACATGCATGTTAGGAAATACAAAACGGTTGTTTTTTACACAGACATTTGTTTTGAAAAACATGAGGACAAATCTCCTCTACACAAACACGTTAACACTTGGCATGAAAAGTGGGAACCGCGTCAAACTCCTTTTGATCAATACATACCAGAAAGCTCAGTGAATGGGTTGTCAAGGCCTCGAAAGTTGTAACCCTGATGAACAACTCCATAACAGTCGCAGAGGCATCTATGATTGCGCCTTAAAGGTTGAAATGACACCAGAGGTGAACGCTGCTCAACGGAAAGGAAAACCGTCAGAGAGTGTTATGGAGACTCTATTTCCACTCTGAATCTATCGCACAGATGAAGGATGCATGTAACAAATGCTATTTTAAGAAGAAAATATTTTCAAAAAGTTCTATTTCCCCTTCAACTAAGGTTTGGTCAATGGCTTGTAATTCTCCAGAGATGCCATGTCTTTGTCCTCACGTAAAAGTGAGTGAGTGAGTTGACATGTATAGTCACATCGGTAATACTTCAGCCATGTCGTGACTTAAAAGGTTATAATTTGACAATGAATGGAATTAGATTACAAAAATCTGTCGCCGAAGGACAGTAGATTATCACAGATAGAAAAGTTGAACCAGTAATGAAATCTAAAACAATTTGGAGGACAACACAATATATACGCAGCCTATATATTGCCAACAACTGAAGGTAGGAACCATGGGGACTTACAGTGCCTTTGCTACCTGCATGGACCCTCATGTAAAATCATTGGTGCATTACGTCAAATCCTAGGAATTTAGAATTGACTTTAATATAAGACAAAATGTTATGGATGTCAACTTCTCCTTTATTGTATACACAACATTTCTTGGCTATTTCTTGCCCCTTCGTCAGGTGAATGCTAAATAACAGATATACAGGATATATATACTAGTAATGTACATGACTGACTGACTGACTGACTGACTGAGTTTGGTTTTACGCCGCTTTTAGCAATATTCCAGCAACATCACGGCGGGGGACACCAGAAATGGGCTTCACTCATTGTACCCATGTGGGGATTCGAACCCGGGTCTTCGGCGTGACGAGCCAACGCTTTAACCACTAGACTACCCCACCGCCCCCAGTAATGTACATGAAGCCAGAGTGATTTTAAGCATGTATATACAATAAATAGGGGATTATAAGAGGATTAGAAGATGAAAGAGACTAAAATATACAAAAGCAGATATGGTGTTGTTACAGTGGATTAAGTGAGTAAATGATAGAAGCCAATGAGCCTAATAGGTGTACAAAAGGTTGGCTGATAGACTTAATTATCTGACTTCATTATGTTTTGCATTGGTAGATATGTCTGTTTTATGGAATAAAGGCACCCTTTGTGTTATGTCTTACAGGTCCTGTCTGACAGATTACGAAGAACAATATTGCGAAGAGGGATCCAAAATATGGTTGCGCAGTCAATACTGACTCGGGAGATTTCGTTAAGAGAGGGAACCACAATTCTGAAAATGCTTTGGTGTTTATACTGACACTTGTTAGTTAATTTGTGAGGAAAAACCGCAAGGTATCAGGTTATATATCCTTTGAAGCTATAACTATCTTGGAGGGCCAACGACTATTTTCATGCTCTTTTCTTTTAACTTATGTTTCTGAATTACAGGGAAATAAATCAAATGTTGAAATATCTAATTGTCTCTTTGGATATACACAACGATAGAAACATGCTTATGAATAGATCAAAAGCCAGCATGATACACAAACCAATGGCTACCGATAACCAATCACAACGATATGTGAACACTATCAGCCATTTTGGGCGTTGATGTGTTTGACGCACGAAATATTCACCCTTACGGGAAAAGAGTTTCGATCCCTGGCAACGTAGTGCCCAAAAACATCAAACGATTATCCTCGTTGTTATCCCCGTTGTTATCCCCGTTGTTATCCTCGTTATCCTCGTTGTTATCCTCGTTGTTATCCCCGTTGTTATCCCCGTTGTTATCCTCGTTATCCCCGTTGTTATCCCCGTTGTTATCCCCGTTGTTATCCCCGTTGTTATCCTCGTTGTTATCCTCGTTGTTATCCCCGTTGTTATCCCCGTTGTTATCCCCGTTGTTATCCCCGTTGTTATCCCCGTTGTTTCCCCGTTGTTATCCTGACTGGTGCTTAACATTAAGGGACAAATCTGTGGCAGACCGGTCTGGTTGTGTTAGTCCCTTTGTCTCAGTTTGGTAAACACCTCAAACTGCTGAATGGTATGTTAGTGGGCTTTTAGTCATAATATGTCTGAAATATTGCCAAAGTGACTTTAAATTTTAACTCACTCACTCCTTTAGGGGATGTTATGGGGACAGTAACGACTTAACTTCCTCCATTACCCCAGGTTCTTTCGCTTCATGAAGTCGGATGAACAAAAAACCTATATTTATTATGATAACAAAGAATTAAAAAAAACAACTTAATTCATGTCTCATACAGTTGCATTCACCCTGACAATAGTTCACTTATTCACTCTGCAATGAACCTTATTCACTATAAGTCTTCAGAGATCAATACATTACAGTGTATAAATCACTATGATCATAATTAAGCTTTCATGATTCTGACAACAACAGGGTTCTGCGGTAACACAAACATATGGCAACAATCTATGGCACAAAGACTAATACAACTGAACTTGCATCTGTAGAAAACTCAAATCGCTTCAAATACTATAGGAAACTGCAGCAAACGTCACACAAGTGCTACCACAAGAGACTGATACAAACTGACTTTGGTTCTGCAGTAAACGTTATTTACAGTAACTTAATGACTTGTACTACCACTGTTCTATAGAGTTGATCCTAAGTTACTACTCTTTCCTAACGTCTGATATTTCTAGAAAACTACAGGATGTATAAACTCACCGAAAGTGCTAGGAAAGTGAATCTAGCCTTATTTAACCATTACCCTGAAATAATATTTTATACAGGAAAACATGATAAGGGAATGGGAGTCCGTCCTTTCACAGAACGTGACGTTCTTATTCAGAACGTATTTGTGTGAAAGGGTTCTCACCTCAACCAGCTGCTGGTTATTCAGACTAACGACTGATACACGCTACAGCGCTTATCTACCCGACTGCCAGCAAATACCTGGATCACAGAAGTGAGGCTATCGGTGATTGGTCAACAATCCTGATTTTTCCTCAATCAGAGCACTCCAAGTAAACGACTCTGGGATGGACAATTAAAACATGGCAACTAACCATAACTGACAGACAGACCTTGGATAAAATGTGATCCAAAGTAGTTACTAACGGTAATGAACTACAAGAACAATTATATACCAGCCGTAAAATACGTTTTACCATATATCTCCCCTCTGAAGATTAAAGTTACTTTAACTTTATCACAACACTGCAATGCAGGTGGTGCTTTAACATGAAAAACCCAACTGTATATGGTCAACAAAGCATGAGTTTATCATATTTAAGACAACAAATTCATAAAAATTCATCAGAATCATGAAGCACATAAAAAAGTCCAGGAATGTCTCTGTAAACGGGGCAACACACTGCCAAAATCATCAAACATCATCACAAATTATCAACAAAATGTGCCTTTATTTGGCACCAAACAAAAGTCAATTATTTAACCACAACATTTCATCTCATCTTCCTCCTCCCAGCTGCCACTGGGTCTTGTACCAAATGCTGTCACACCCCGCCACCTTGGATCACATGCCCAGCGGTGGCCATGGCTCCTCTTCGTCTACCAGTAACTCCATTGCTGTAGCTAAAAAAACCAAAAGAATAGGTACAGTTCTTCCAAAATTAAATATAAAGAACTGGTACAGTTCTTGTACAAAATGTGTTTACGTTTTAGCACCTGACAATACATTATAACAACTTAATATTAAAATGTAGTGCTTTGCATTAAAAACAACACAAGTTTTTACAGTTCAGTCCTGGCTGGGGTTTTTCTTTGCCTAATCCCCTTGCCAAAACTACAAAACACAGCTTAAGGAGAATATCTTTGCCTTGGAAGAACTGTTCGTCCATATCTACTTTATGGAAAATCTAATGGAATTTTCCCATCTGTTCAGTTTCCCTCCCCAGACCATAATACTTCCTCATCACCAACTTCTGGCGAAACGGAAAGGTCTACAGCATTCAACAAACCTCCCAGAGATTGATCACCCTCATAAGGTTTGAGTTGTCCACATGAACACTGATAATCCTTGACCCCTCAGTTTTCTGAATCCTATAAACTCGGGAGGACAACCAGAAATGGACCTGTCCAACCAAGAGCTAGTTTCTTCCCTGCTCTTGGTGGGTACCATCGCCACACCCAGTTCCCAACCTCGAAACCACTTATCCTGAATTTTGTATAATAATTTCCTTTTTTGTGATTAAACCGCTACCTCTAAATGCTGATGGCAAAATCGAAGTTTCTTTGCATTTATTGTTCTATCAATTGAAATACTCATACACAAAATAGATTCAGAACCTGGTGGGGTGCCCACCACTACGTCCAAAGTACTTTGAATCTCCCTCCCTAACATCAAGAGATTAGGTAAGCAATTGGTGCTTTTGTGAGTCCCTGTCCTATATGCCATCAGTAAGAAAGGCATTACCATTTCTGGTAATTGGCAACAGCGCTACTATGTCTATTGCAATGCACTCTATGGGAGCCTTAACTTTGAACTTTTGCAAAGGTGACTTCATCTGGCACACAAATCAAAAGACTGACACGATCATTTTACGCTCTTGGACATTCCTGGCCAATACAATCTTTGCCTTATTGATTCGTAGGTTCTGTCTCGCCTGGATAAACAACAAATCTCATTGTTCCCACAAACTTTTAGACTCTGAGCTAAAATCAACAATTTCAGACATTAAAGTCTTTGTTGTCGATTCCAGCATCTTTCTAACAATCTTTCTAACCGAGGTCCAATATGACTATCAGTATCCTGTAACTCTACCAACTCCTTGGTAGAGGAAGCATCACGGCAATTCAGAAGAGCGTCTTGACCTACTACAACTGGCCGTATACATGAGAATTAGAGAACTGTTCAGAGCTCTCTTTGTCCCTAGTTCCACGAGAAACAACACTATTTGGAGAGTAACATTCCTCACAAGTGTCATCGCCACATTTCCTAACAATCCATCTTGACATACCATCAGCATATTGTTAAGTTAATTCAATTGATATCACCATGCACTCTACATTGCATTTGATATACTGTGACATAGTTTGGATATGAATGTGCATTTATTAATTTACCATTCTGCAAACCTAAAGAAACCAGGTTTTCCCATTTTGCTTGTACTATTGATTTTGATCTTGTGAACATTGATGCTCATGTAGTAAACAAAAACACTCATTCTAACACTATGTGTAAATGATTGTATGTCGCAAGTAATATATATCACACATATGTTGAGAAAACATCATTACAAACAAAAAAATGAACATTCACAAGGCAAGATAAAGAATTTGACTGAAATTCTTAAGTGATGATTTATCAATTTCACTGTTCAAATTGACGTTTTTGGAAAAATAATGTAAATATACATACTTCCCGCCTGCTATGTACAGAGTCCAATTTTGAATGCACTGGGTTCCTGCTCTGGCCTGATGAAGTATCTGGGAAAACTCCTGAGAAGTGACACCTATACAAGAGATAGCAAATGTTTCACTAAGGATTTTATAAAGTTGTGATTTCGTTTCAATCAAACTTTAGGAAAATCTTCGCCAATGTTTCAATAACGTTTCTTAAACGTTGGTGTGCAGAGTGGGTGTGAGTGAGTTTAGTTTTACGCCGCACTTTGCAATATTCCAGCTATATGGTGGCGTGGTGTGCAGAAGTTTGGATTTTGTTTTTTGATAACATCTTAATAAGGTTACTCGAAACGTTTTCATGACTTTCAAAATATATCTTTAAAAAACGTTTGAAAACATTATCAAAAGGTTTTCATGAAACATTTCCCTGACAAACCCCTAGAAAACGTTGTATAAACGTTGTGTGTTAGCTGGGATAAGCAATAACCACTTCCTGTTCATTTTGGACCTGCAAAAGTACAGCACCTATTCCACTAGCACTAGCATCTGTATCAAGAATGTACATACCAGAATGTTCAGGAAACGCTAGAATCGGAGAACTCTACAGACTCTGTTTTAAACTCAGGAAACCTTGTTCATAATCTTTATCCCATCAGAAAGAAACCTTTCTGGTAAGACTTGTCAAAGAGGATGCTATATCAGAAAAGTTTGGAACAAAATGCCGGTAGTAACCTTAGATAGGTCTGTGCAATTTTACAGGTAAACTGACATATACCAGTACAGTATATTGCGATGTGAACATCACGATATGGTATGGATTCGGCAATATATTGAGTGATCCAGAGTTAACTCCCTTTGAATTATATGCCCTTGATTTCCATAACCACAAAATGTGCTCTAAAAGTGCCAAATATACTTTTATTTCTGTTGTGGGTTTGAATGGTTTCATATGTGACATTTTGGAGGAAATAAGTTGCCTCAAATGGACCATTTTTATTTGGACTTATTTAATAGAGCCTCATGCTCTGAGTGACCATTTCAAAATTCACATTATTTTGTTATTTTGGTTTGTGTCATAATGGGACATATGTTATCAATTTATCATA